GGCTCCTCACCCCGCACTGGAGGCTTGATGTAGGTGTTGGTCTTCGCCCGCAGGGCTTTGATCTTGCAGCCTTGAGGAAGAGAGAGAAAACAAGGCAGGGAGGTTAGAGAGGCTGTCCCGCCGCCCTCCCCTCTCCTCAGGACACCAGGCTGAGTTGCCATGTTCTCAGCAGGCCCTGCACCACACAGCAGCCACCGCCCGGGGACCTAAAATGAGGGAAAGGCCGTTTGCCGCCTGACCCTGACGGGAGAAATGCCAGAGGAAGGTTTCCCCCTCACCAGCTCCAGACAGCTCCTCCCTCAGGAGGACCCCGCTCCCTCATCCTCAGGCGGGTGACGCCATTTTGCATGCAGCCCCCCACCACACAATCCCCCTCAGTCGCCTCCCAGAAACCAGCCACTCCTCAGCAATCACCCCTCAGAGTCTCCCCTTCACACACCCACAAGCACCAGGGCGCTGGGGAGGGGGAGCAGGATTCAAGCCCTCCCCACGGGGTTCCCTGTGAGGAAGCCTGTTGCTGCTGAGATTCCCTGGTGAGGAAGCCTGTTGCGGCTGAGCCCCAGGCCCCGCCATGCCGCCCCCCAGAGAAGATGGCCGCCCTGCTCCCCTCTTGTCAGAGTAGCTCCTGGGACAGGAAGGATTCGGCTGACACACAGGGCTGCGAGAGAGGCCGGAGATGACAGCAGAAATCAGGGGGACGCTGAGTCCATGGACAGGCATGGCCGATGTGGAGCCCCTTCGCTACGCCGCACCAGCTCACGGGGAGCACGAGGGGAAAGACGGCTGCCGTAACTCAAGAGAGCAGAGCCCTCCACGGGGGCTTCTGTCCTACTCTGGAGCTTTTGGGGTGAATCTGGTGTGACCCGGGTCACTTCTGGAGGGCCAAGTTTGGAGGGGGGTAGCAGAGATGCAGCCATCTGGGCTCACCATCTCAGATATGGTGGGACCACAAGCATCGGCACCGCTAGAAGGGCGCCAGTATTTGCTTTGGGGTCAAAACAGCAAGAAACGGGGCAGGGCTGCCCCCCCACGTCCATGCAGAGCCCCACTGCAGGCTGTGCGCCGACCCCTGCTCCAGGCTCACCAGGAGCCACGGCGAAGGCACGGCGGTGGCTGCCCGGGGAGGGGAGACCACCCAGCCAAGGGCTGTTTTGCCCTTGACTCTCCCACCTGGTTTGAGAAAACACCGATGGCCGCAGGCCTCCCCACCACAGCGGTCCGGGCGTGCGGACCCTTTCCTGAGGTCGCCTGCCGTGCCAGTGCTTTTGTACATCAGTATTCACCTCCCTGGAGCCCACCAAGCCCACCCCCTGGTTCCTTAGAGCTCAGAAAACATCTTTCTGCTCTTCCAAAAAAGGGAAGAGACTTTTCAGTGTGTTTTGGCTTCCAAATCGTTTTTTAGAGGGGTTTAGAGCCAGTTGTATGACTCCAGGTTCCTAGATGACACTAGGATGTCATCAAGCAACTAAATATTTTTACAGATGTGGCACAGTTTTCTAAACCACTTCTGGAAACCCTCCCTGCTGCTGTCCCTCTGATCCCTCTCTCCAAAAGCCTTACTCGGTGCCTGGAGGCATTTTCAAAGCCTGGCACCAAGATGCCATGCAGACTGCCACTTCCTCTGGTGGGGGGGCTTTGCTCTAAGCTTGGGTCTCTAAGAAAAATTAAAAAACGTGAATCTCCAGGGCACCGCGTTTTCTCCTAGTGCAGATGGGGTAAGGCGAGCCTTTTGCCTTGGTTTCCCAAGGATTCAGGTGTCTGACTCAGGACTCATGGAACAAGAGGGTAAGGATACGGCTTTGAAACCTCTGTAAGATCCCCCACCTCCTCCCCACCTCATCTTCTCTCCCCAGGATCTCATCTCTTGTCCTCTCCTCTGACCATCTGACACCAGCAAGTTATCCTCAACATATGACACTGACATCATACTTTAACACAAGATGACCCGCAAACGATGCTTCTGCAACCAAGAAACTAAGATTCCTCAGCTCGTGGGCTGGAACATTATTATTTATACAGATCCTAATAAATAACATCTCTCCTGGCTGGGAGTTCAGGGCTGCCACTCAGTGCTGCCACTTATCTGCAGCTCGTCTCACGAGAGACAGACTTGTGACATCGGGGTATTTACAGGAACGTAACGATCCCACCACCACGTATCGTTAGCAAGAATCGAACCCTGCACCTCTAGTGATAAAAACAGAGCCTTGTGCCACTACAGCTGACAAGAATAACTCCCCGCACTCGCAGCGCTGGCGGGCGCCGCACATGGTACCAACCGATAGTCACAGCTGCACAAAGCATGCTCAGCCTGACAGGTCACACTCGCATCTCGCGACGTCACACGGGCACCGGGATGCAGCCTCGTCAAACTGCAGGAGACTGCGCGAACGTGAAACCTCCCGGCATAACTTCGAAACCCCACCACCCGTCAGAGGGTCTTGGCATTGGTGTAGGACACGTGCCGGTAAATCCTGACTTCGCTGTCGACTCCCAGTGCGACTTTTAACTGCTCAGAGCTACTTCAGCTCTCTGAGCCTCAGTCCCCCGGTTGTGGAATGGGAAGAATAGCTGTCTCTTGCTCTCTGTTACTGCAAAACTTCCAATAATATTTAGCATTGCGATGCTGCTGCATTAAACCCATCTCTAAGCCACTGATTTCACGTTCCTGGGGAAGGGAAATGCTAGATCTGACCCAGAGAAGAAGCTGGGCAAATCCCCCAAATCCAAACCAAATCCACCCCCTGCCAAGTCCAAACGTAGCTCACGTTACTCCCCTCTGAGTTTGCACCCTGAAGTATATTTTCAGTGCTTTGTTTAGCAAAGTTTCTAAACAGTTGATGTGGACTGATGCTCATCTACAGTCTTATACTATTAGTACTTGGGAAACTCAAAGAACAGGACTTTATGGTGCCAGGCACGACACAACCGTAGACTAAAACCATGCAGACAAAATCACAGAATAAAGGTTCATCCCAAGGAGCCTGGGCAGGGCAGGATAAAACCGCGAGCGGTCATCTACGCCCTGCTGCAGCCCCAGGGCAGGGTCGGCTCTCCCTGACCCATCGCTGGCAGACATTTCCCTGCTCCGCTCCTATGCTGCTCGCGCCAAAGATGGAGATTCCATCTTAGGAAGATTAACCTAGATGCCACCATTTCCCCAGGGATATCACCGGAGCGTTGCATGGAAAGGAAGGGGGTGTTAGCGGCAAGCATCCACGCTGAAAACGACTCCCGTGCATCACCCCGGACAGAAGTGGCGTTTGCCGAATTCCTCAGCGACCCACGTTCTGCCTCCCAGGAGCGCGAGGCTTGCTCTCGTTTGCAAAAGGACCTCAGGTAGGCGTTTGTCAGGGCTGGGCTTGGGCTCGGCGTTTTTTGAAGCCACGGGACAACGACTGTGTGTGGCGTGAGAGGGATCTGAGCCCCGAACGACAGGAAACAATCGAGGAGGTGACACGGAGGGTCAGGCAAGCAGAGCAGCGACAAAGGACGGGGGCTCCATGCTGGGGACAGATGGAGGGCAACGGTGGCGAGGAATACACATGAATGAGGGCAAACGTAAGCGAGTTACACGAGCTGGAGAGGGCGGGAGGGAGTTGGGGATGGAGGACAGGCGACGGAAATTGAGGGAGAGGCATGCCGTGATCCCTCCGAGGGAGGAGAATTCGGGGTGTGGAGGCAAAGGAGAAACACCCCAAATGGCGAAAGGGAGACGGGCAAGGAGAGAGCATGGCGAGAGGGGGAGGGAGGATGCAGGAACGGACAAAAGGACGCATGGTGCAGTCCATGGTGTGAGAAGCAGGGGGAGGAGGAGGGAGGGTCTCCGTGCAGGCCTGCAGACAGGAAAGCCAGCTTTGCAGAGACAGACAGATGGGGGATCCTGTGCTTAAAAACTGGAGAAAACAAGCCCACAGGAAATTAGACCCAACTCCATCACGACCAGCAGCCCAGCGGGTTCAGTGGCCCAGATCTCTAGCAGCTCTAAGTTGGTGCAGACAACAGGCCAAGCCATCAGCAGTATAAATCCAGACAACTCTACCAACTTCCAAGCGAGCCACACTGATTTACATCAGCTAAAATCAGGCTGGGCTTAATCCTGATTTACCCACTTAGTGCCAAGGCTGCCAGCCCATCTCAACCCCAACCCTGACCTTGCTTTGCACAACTAGATAGCGGCTGAGCCTTCTTTGACATTGCCCCGTTTCTGATAGAGCACAGCCAGATCAGGATGTGGCCCTTTATATCCTTGGAAAGATGAGTAGCACGGTCCTATGTGTTTTTTTCAAATTAAATTTGTCCTGTATGCTTTTTTTTAAATGAAAGCCTTTCTTCATGTGTAACTGAAATTTGAAAACAACATGCAACAAATCGCTTTACTCGGTGGATTATTAAAAAGGGGAGAGAACTGCTTAGTAGGGGGTGTTAAAAATGTAAAACCAAGAAGAGAAAAGGACCTGCAGAAACTATAATAATATATAACTTTGCTGTAGTGTTCTACCCTTTAAGGCAGCGTGCAGACATCAGCTAATTGATCCCTGGCAGACTCCTGCCAGCTACATTTTTATATTAGAGAGTATTAAGCCCTTTCTTGTTGTGTTTCCACTACCTCGCTTCTATTATTCTGGTTTTTGCCAATAACAGAGATCCCAAAGCATTTTGCAAAGGAGGCTTGTATGATAATTTCCTCCTTCCACCCCTTTTTCTTTTTAACTCCAGTTAACTGATTGCCAATTGACTCAAAGTAAACGCGTTTGCAAATTACCCTAGTTAAGTCACACATGTTAACATACAGGAGCAAACCCTTGAGGACTGTGAGCCTCCAGCACCCAGACCAGTTAGTTATCTAACTGGAATTAATCCGCAGGGCAGCAAGCTCTGGCTACAAACAAATAAATAAATCGAGTCTAGACATTGCCAAACTGTCTAGAGGGGCAGGGGGGCGGAATCGGGGAGACTTGGGTGCATAGCCACATTCTATTCTCTGCTTACCCCTCCATCAGGGGTAAATAAATCCATCAAAACTAACAGAGAAGGCTTCAAGAGCTTGGTTCACTTGTCCAGCTAAGG